TATCCTTTTTAGTTGGCAATCTCTACAACCATTTCCCTAAAAGAGCCATGTTCTTTTCTCGGATATTCCCCAAACCAAGACCCCTGAATTTCTTACTTCTCACCAATTCTTCTCCTCACCTAGCTCCCATAAAAAGTCCCTAATTAAATTTTCCGATTTTCCATTCACTCCTTCAGGAATTTTGAACACTGACAAGTAGTACATTGGAAAATTGGCCAAAGTAGACCTAATCAATGTGATTCTCCCCCCCAAGGACAAATAGCTTTTCTTCCAAGAAGCCAACCTTTTAGTAAATCTTTCCACCATAGGATTCCAAAAACTAACACTTCTTAGATTATCACCCAAAGGAAGCCCCAAATAGATCAAAGGCCATTGAGACACCACACAATCTAAAACTTCAGCATTTTCTGATATCTCCCTCTAATCCATATTTATCCCTGCAATGCAACTCTTATCAAGATTCACCATTAAGCTTGGCATTCTCTTGAATAATTGAACCACCATTTTCAAATTTATTGACCACTTACTATGTCCATCTTCATAGAACAAGATAGTATCATATGCAAACTTAGGTGAGTGATTGGCACACCCCCCTACCGACACTCCATCCACCAAGTTCCTAAAATCTGCCCCAGAGATTAGTCTACCAAGAACATCTGCAATCAAAGTGAAGAGGAATGGGGAAAGTTGGTCCATTTGCCTAATTCCTCTAAGGGTAGGGAAATGATCAACAACTATCCCATTCACAAAAATAGAGTAATGACAAGTCTTGATGCATCCCTTTATCCATTTACACCATCTGTCTCCAAAACCCAAAACTTCTCAAAACCTCCAATAAGCAATCCCAATCCGCCAAGTCATAGGCCTTCTCCAAAGTCTAGCTTACAAACAAAGCCTTTTTTCCCCACACATCTAACATGTCAAATAAGCCACATAAAATTATATATATTCTTACTCTTGTGTTTTTTCATGTCCTTATTGTTTATGGATTATATTTTTTGTTTGAGCCTTTGAGGCTTACACCACAAAACGCCTTAAGGCTTAGGCCTCACCCCTATCACACCCAACCGCCTTACCTCCAGCTTTATCCTTTCAAAACCTTGTATATGATTAAACCAAGTAATGGCTCCTTATTGATGAATTGATGGAATACCCTAAATAGATGGTTGAGGATGGAAGAATAAGCTTCTGTTAGATAAATGGTTGGACCAGGGTCCTTTGGTTGATGTTGCAAATGGTATAGAGGACTGACGACAACTACATATACTAAAGAGTAGAAAGACAGAGGAAGCATACAAGATGGGAAAGTGTTTTGTTCAACTACCAAGTGGAATAGGGAGATCATAGTGGGAAAGAAACAATTTCTGCTTGGAGGAAATAACAGCCAGAGGCTACATAACTAGGGATGGCAATTTTCCCCATTTCCCCAGTCCCCATGGGGACCCGTCCCGGATGGGACAGGGATGGGGAAATTTTCTTCCCCGTTGGTGGGGATGGGGTGGAGATGGGGAGAGCACTCCCCGCCCCGTGGGGATCTCCGCTAATATATATGTATATATATATATATGTGTGTGTATGTATGTATGTATATTAGTATTTTTAAAAATATGGTTGAATATGTTTGAATATATTTGAATCCTCTTCAATAGAATTGTAATTTTTAATTATTTTATTTTTAATTTTTTAAATAAAATAAAATAGTTGACAGTATAAAAAATCATGGGGAGTGGGGATCCCTGCAGGGATGGGGATAGCCTTGTCCCTGCTAGCGGGGGAGGGGACTGGGACGGGGATTTTCATGGGGGCAGGGATGGGAAGTGGCTCCCCATCCCCATCCCACCCCGTTGCCATTCCTATACATAACTTTGAAGAATAGAGAGGACAAGAGATCTACAGTGCTGCTGTTTTGGGATTTAGTTGAATGGCTGAGAGGCTTCTTGGATGGAGCAGTACAGGCAAGAAGTATACAGTTGAGAAAAGAAATAACATTAATCGTCAGTTCATTATGCTCTGTGAAAGATTTGGAAGAAATAGGAGGGAGATTGTATGTTTCCCAGAAGGGCGAGAGGGACATGATTGGAAGATTATGACAGAGACTCTAGATGAGTTTATGGAAAGAATCTGGAGCAGCTATAAGGATAACAAGAATCGAAAGGAAGAAGTGGTTGATCAAATTGAAGAAAGCAAGGAAAGTATTGAAGAGGAGAGGATCTTACCGGTATGTCCTGTAACCACACGAAAGCTGATTTAGGAAGGAAATAAAATGTCACCCCCACCAGATTACAGCAATGTAAGACAACAAAAAAAGCAAAAAACAACACTTCAGTAGAAAAACCTAATATCCTGATGATCCAGGAATCAGAGCTGCAATTAATTGATAGAAGATGGATTAGAAGCTTATGGGGTGAGATGGCACCGTACTAGGATGCATGGGAAGGAATAATCACTTGTGGCAAGAGGAGACAATGGAGTGTTTAGAGGAACTTTTAGGGAATTTTACTGTTTCATTAAAATTAAAGAATGTGGAGGATGAATTTTTGTGGGTGCTAACCAATGTCTATGACCCTAACTCGTATAGAGAGAGAAACATGATGTGGGAGGAATTGGCAAGATATCAGGGGATTGTGGGATGGGCCATGGTGTTTGGGTGGAGATTTTAGTGTGATCAGGTTTTCAGATGAGTCTAATAGACCACGACGAAGGATAACAACCAGTGTGAGATAGTTTAATAGCTTCATTGAGTCATTTCAGCTTAAAGAAATATCTTTGGGACAAACAAAGTTTACCTTGTCAAACCTTCAAGATAATCCTATATGCTTTAAACCAACAGATTCCTTGTGACCTTAGATTGGGAGGAGCATTGGGATAGATTGTTAGGGAGGGCCCTTCCTAGGCTTACTTCAGATCATTGGCCTATCTGTGTATTTCAAGAAGATGCAGGAGGCCCTTATCCATTTAGGTTTGAAAATATGTGGCTTATTCATCCAGGGTTCTTGCAAAAGGTGAAGGAATGGTGGGGAGGGTGGGGATATCAGGCAAAATGGGAAGGTGGAGGTAAAGGTTAGTAAATAACTCTTTAGAAGGCATGTTTAGGGGTTTGTTTCCATTTCTGGGTTCTGGTGGGGGTGTTTTTCGGTCAGGAATGGGTGTCGAGTCTTGTGTCTATAGTTCGGGTGGTAGTTTTCTTTTGGAAAGCAAGAAGGTTTAAAGGGGTGTTGTACAGGGTTATCTTTGATGTATTCTTGTTCTGGGGCCATACTTGTCACCTTTTATTATAAATTTCTTTTTTTATTCATCTGTAAAAAAAAATGACTAACATGATTTTATGCATTATTAAAGTGACCCATGTACTGAGGGAAGGAAATAAAGTTGCGGACACTTTGGCTAATCTAGCATGTGATGAGAGAAGGAGCACGATCTTCAATTATCATGATGAGTTACCAAGTAACATTATTTAAAAAAAAAAATGCAATGTACAAAGTTCTAATCATTATCATGAGATTAAACTTATGATAAACACTATGAAACTTTGGAAAAAGTAATTGAACAAAGCCTAGACATGAAACAAGTATATCAGAAAACCAACTTTGTTTTATGACAAGGATATCAGCAATGAAATCTATCTTTTTTATTGAGACAACTAAAAAAAAAATAGTTCAGGCAAAAGAAGAGATATCTTCATATGGTATTCATTGGTTGAGATAAAGCATATGATAAGAGTATCTAGAGAGATAATATGTGAATATGGTGAGTTTTGGAAAAGAAAGGAGTGTAAAATAGATAATATGGATTTAATCAAAGACATGTATTAGGGCGCAACACCAATGTTACAACACCTGTAGAAGAAATAGAAGAAATATTGGAGTTTTCAATTACAATGGAACTTTACCCAAGTACTAGCACATAGCCCTTATTTATTGGCATTAATCATGGATGTATTAACTAAACATTTTTAGGAGGTTCTATAGTGCATGTTGTTTGCTAATGACTTAGTATTAATTAATAGAACTAGAGAAGGATTAAATGTAAAATTAGATTTATGGACAAATACCTTAGAAAACAGAGGTTTTAAAAATAAGGACTAAAACAGAATATATAAGCAATGTAAATTTAATAATAGGAGCAAAAATCAGGGTACACTTGGGAATAGAGATCAAGAGATGTCTTAACGTGATCCCCTTCATTACCTTGGTTCAATGATCAATGACAAGGGAGAGATTGAGGAGGATGTTGCTCAAGCATTTATAGCAGGATGAGCAAAATGGAGGATTGTATTTGGAGTCTTATGTGATAAGAGAATACCATTGAAAAAAGGAAAATTTTATAAAACAATTATAAGGCCAGCAATGTTGTATGGAGCAGAGTATTAGGCAATCAAGAAAAAAACATGTCCGGAAAAAAAATGATTGTGGCAGAAATTCAAATGTTTAGATGGATGAGTGGGAAACTATAAAGGATAAAATAAAAGGCAAGCTTACTCAAAGAAACCTAGGAGTACCTCCAATAGGGCATAAAATAAGGGCAAAGTAGACTAAGATGGTTTGGGCATGTGCAAGGAAGACCATATAGAGTAACATCGAGAAGAAGTTATCTGTTAAGAATTGAAGGGGCTAGAAGAAGTGAAGGAAGAAGACCAAAAAAGACATGAACTGAAGTGGTGAGAAATGATTTAAGGGCCCATCATTTAACAATGGATATGTATTGAACAGAATGGAATGGTGGAACAAGATTCATATAGCCAACCCAATATAGATAGAACAAGGTTTTGATGATGATGATGATGATGACGATGATGATGATCTGAATTTATGATATTAGTTAACATAGAAGAATAAGAATCTAAGAATGTCTTGTAAAATATAATAAAAACATGTGGACTTTGATATTTAATCATAAGACTGAGACAAGAAAGGCATATGTCATTCAATCAAGTTGTATTTGATTATCATCCATGACATGCATAGCAAAACATTCAAACAGACAAGAGATTTGTTACATACCCCAGAGTTGTGCATTTTCCAAAGAGCCGCCCCACTTCTTTCGATTACAACTGCCCCACCTAACAAAACACTGCAGAGGGATATTCATTATCAGATTCGAGACTAGATATATTTTCATCAAACTTGACATATCCATGCACAGCATAAAAATTCCATCAAGTACTTTAATATCTCAATAAATTCATATAACTTAAACTGGATTGCAACTCACATCCTACACCTATGCTTTCCCATTCCATAAGTAGACCACATATCAAATGGCTTGAGAATCTTTGAACATAAAAATCATTGAAATAAATAGAAGATAATATTCTCAAGAATAGAATGTAACTAAAATAACCCTTCATCCCTAGATTAATAAGAATTGTCAAATAAAAGGCCATAACTCAATGTTGGACCCAGCTATCTGAGGTCTAAGGTTGTGCGAAGCATAGAATAATACAGACTTAAACTTTAGCATTTTTTTCATAAAGTGGCAGCTGTCAGACTCAAACCTACGTTTTCATCCTTGTCAACCTGAGAATTTACCATTACACCAAGCAATGGCCCCTGTCAATAAGAGTTGTCAAATAAGAAACTCGTAAGATTAGACAAGATAAATTCTTCAATAAGTAGGTATCATCAAAGGACAAAATTGGATCTCATAGAACAGGTTGGATGTTGAAATGTTATTGAAGTTTATATGTTTTTTTATCAGAAAATAAAACTTTTTTTAATTCATTAATTATTGATTGAAGTACACGAGTTTTAAAATTTCAGCAATGCAGTGATCCAGATTACAATATATATATATATATATATGTATATATATAACAGCAGATTTCATTAAATAGGAATAAGCTTACAAGGTAGAGGAGCTAAAGTATCTTAACTCCCCAATAATATGGGCAGGCACCCAAAAAGAAAAGAACAATTACAACTGAGCCCAGAAACCAGAATCCCCATTCACCCCTTGCCTAGCTAATCCATCAGCAAAGGAGTTTGCATTTCTCTTTACCCAAGTACACTGAACTTCCATTTTCTTGATCAGCCATTTGAATTTTCTCTTTTCATTGCTGTAGCTCCAAAGCTTAGAAGTGTCTTCTTTTAGCCAGTTACTACAACCTTAGAATCCCCTTCTATAATCAGTTTCTTGACATTTAGGTCTTTAGCCCTTTGTACCCCTTCCAAAGCTGCTAACACCTCAACCCTCAAGGAGTTTCTCACTCCAATTGGGCCAGAGAACATAGCTATTACATTCCCTTTCTCATCTCTTGGCACCCCCCCCCCAATACCCAAGGGCCCTGGATTCCCCATGCTGCTGCCATCAAAATTTAGTTTGATAAAACCAAGAGGTGGAGGGTTCCATATGGGATTCGAGGTCTTCTTAGCTTAGGCTGAACTTGCAATTTCTTTCCATTTTCTTAACATATCATCCATTGAAAAATCTGTGAATTTGTCCATTGTTTTCAGCCAATGTATTACCCATATATGGATTACTTCTAGCATAGTTTCCAACCCTCTCTCCTTTTCTGAAAAAATCCTTGAGTTTCTTTCTTCCCATATAGTCCAACAAACAACAGCTCTCACACATCTCCACATGATCCTTGACCTTTTTGTTGGGCAGTTGAAAGAAGAGGAATTAAACAAGCTTTGCACATTCATTGGGGAAATCCACCTACACCCAAACAAAGAAGCAAACAATTCCTAAATATTTTTTGCCAAATCACAGGATATTTGTAAGTGGTAACCAGACTCACCAGCAGCTTTGCAAGAACACACCAATGTGTTCTTGGGTTGTTGACTCTTTCCAGGAAATAAAGAACTATTGGGTCTTTTTCTTTGAAGCAAGTCACCTGGGTTGTTGACTCTTTCCAGGAAATAAAGTAAGTCTATCTGCTCCTTGTTTGGCTAGGATATCTGCCAATCCATTTGCTTCCCCTTTTACCCATCCAAAATGAGAGTTAAACCTCCTTGCAAGTAGATCAATTTCTCCGAAGATGAACCTGAGCTTCCAAGGTGCTGAATTGATTTGCTTTGCCTAAGCTATAACCAGGAGAGAATCTCCTTCAGTTTCCAGTTCTGTTGCTCCATTCAACTCTAGTTTCAAGCCTTGTAGGAGAGACAGATATTCAGCCTGAATTGAATCACCTAGTGCCAATTGGTCCTGATAATAGTGCCCCAACTGCTCCTTGATGATTTCTTGACACTCCACCTATATGTACTCTTCCCGGGTTACCAAAGGAACTCCCATCAAAGTTCAGTTTTAGTTTATTTGGTGCAGGTGGTTTCCAATCCATTCTCACACTTTCTCTAAATGAATCTATTTGTACCACTTCAGTCCAATTACTTAGAATGCCATTTATAGAGACATTCCCAAAGAATTCCATAGTTTTTACCTAATGTGCAGATTTGATTTTTATAGCTTCAATCACTTCCTACTTTTATTTGCTTTCTTCCGAGAAAATTCTTTGATTTCTTTCCTCCAAAATAGTCTACAACAGCCGCTCTTACTACCAAAGAAAGAGTAGAAGAATACAAGAAACAAAAGAGAAGAGAATAGTAAATGGGGTAGGGTTTTACCACAAGCCTTACAAAGAACACACTTATGAGGAGAGAGGCACTTATTCGGCCTTCTTTTCTATAGTACGTCACAGGTGTTTACCTTCACAAGAAACACTTCCCAACATAAGGCTTGTACTTTAAGAGGGATTGGTTTACACCATATTTCTCTCACAGGAAAGTTCACCCCCAAATTTTCAGAATAAGTAAGCAAACTAAAGAAAGAGGCATAGGAAAATAAACCATTAGAAGCTGGAGACCAGATTATACTGTCAGCAACATTCTAGTCCAAGTGGACCTCCAAAGTCGAAACCAAGAGCAGTAGGGAGTCACATTCATAATCTCTCAGACCCCTTCTAAACCCAAAGTCCCAAGATAGCCCAAAATCTGAAAGCACACCAAAGTTAGCAACAGGTTCAGTCTTAAGGTTGGCTAAGGAGTAGAGTTCAAGGAACTGGACACTAAGGGGCAAATCCCCTACCCATAGGTCTTCCCAAAATAACACTTTATTTCCACACCCAATGTCAAGACAGATAAAGTTAAGGAAGGTTGGCAATAAATCAATGATTACTTTCCAAGGGGAGTTTGGAGTTGCATGGGAGACTAGTTTTGCATCCAAACGGTTATCCACTTCACCATGAATGCTTTAATGATCCTTTGCCACAACCTATCTTCTTTGTGAGGGAATCTCTCACAGCCATTTTCCTAAAAGGGTCGTATTTTTCTTCAATAGGTTTCCTATACCTAGGCCACCTTGCTCCTTGGCCATTGGGTTTACAAACTTGTTCCCATTTTACTAAATGGTCTCTCTTTTCTTCTCCTGGCTCCCACAAAAAATCCCTCATTATCTTTCCTAACTATCTAGCTATTTTCGCCAGCATCCTAAAGGTGGAGAAGAAATAAGTGGGCAAGTTTGCTAGGGTGGAATTTATCAAGGTTACTCCCCCTCCCAAAAAAAAGATATATAATTTCTCTTCCAAAATGACAGCTTCTAAGTAAATCTCTCTAGAACTGGTTTCCAAAAGCTTTCTGATTTTTGTTTTCCCCCCAAGGGCATACCTAGATACTCTACAGGCCAGTTTCTATGATGTAATAAAGTCACACTTATTTACTTATATTGTATTATCATTAGATATTTCAAAATCATATTAAACAATATTGAATTAAACCTATTTATGTAGGATATGAAGGAGAACAGTCCTATTAGGGTGAATGTGTTGGTAAAGAAGGGAATTAAATATAAATTATGAAATGAAAAAAAAAATCAGATATAAATAAAGAAGAGACATATTGCACCTTTAAAGATAAAGAGGTAGAAAAGAGAAAGAGTATCATGATCTTACCAGCAAGTAACTTCTAACAAACTTATATTTTATTCATTCAACCATAAAATTCAAATTATAATGACTATTTATAGATTAACATAATGGTCATATATCCCTTTATAAACTCTACTTTAGACTCAAAAATTTGCCAAAATTATAGGTAACTCATGAAGACACTTAATAAGAATTAGAATGGTTATAACAACACCCTACCAATCCTACTACAACTAAACAAACCAAAAAACCATTTCAGGATTGACTCAAAAAAAAAAAAAAAAAACAGAACGGCACAATTTTTGCATTCCTGCAAGTTATTTCCCTTGGCAAACTTCCACTGGCCATTTTTCCAGCTTGACATCAAGAATGCCTTTCTCCATGGCGATTTGTAAGATGTGGAATGCAAGGAGGAACATCTTAGCTTTGTTGCTCAGGAGAGGAGTGTAAGATTGTAGACTATCGAAGGCAATATAATGGTCTAAAGCAATCACCTAGGGCCTTGCTTGGGTGGTTTAATGAGGTAGAGAAGAAGTTAGATATAAAGTAATGCAAGGTTGTCATATGTGTGCTCCTTCATAAATTTTGGGTCTTCACCAAAAGGAACTTCAAAAATCTTGGGTCTCTCTTTTTTTTGTTCAATTTATGTTCAATGTTTTGTTAATTTCTCGCTTTTTGTTATCATAGGCTTCAAAAAATAAGAAATTTTTTTTTGTTATAGGAGTGCACCTAAAGAATATAAAGAGTTATAATGTTTCAAAAGGATCTTACTACTTTTAAAGCTTCAAGAATCTGAATTTGCAGGTCCATCACTTTTCTATCAATATAAGTTTTAGGAATCAAATCCTGACTGTTTGACTTGCTGTTTTGTCAATGTATCTAATGAGACCAAGATCACATGAATTTGGAGACAGGGTCCAAATCTTTCTAAACTTTCATTCTATCTTTGAGTTGATTTTGGTTTATTTAGTTTTAATAAGATTAGTAATGGAAATTTTGAGTTATTTGAGGAACCCAAGTATCCCTATTGGTTATATATAGATTTTTTTTTATCGATGACTGAAAAAAATTTTCATTAATTAAGATGCTTTAGGATACAACAAGAAGTTGCAAAAGAAATCAGCATAGAAGCTGACCCAGGACAGAATTACAAATGTTCCCAAAACATATATGTTCTTTGAACCCCTTGCTTTGCTAAGCTATCTGCCAAACTGTTGGCCGATCTCCTAACCCAAACCACCTGAATTGACAAATTCCTTGACATCCATTTAAATCTTCTGAAATCATTCTTCAACTGCCATGTCACCCCTTCCCCTTTCTGCAACCATTTTATCACAGTTTTTGAGTCTCCCTCGATGATCACTCTATTAATCCCCAACTCTTTAGCCTTCTCAACCCCAGATACTGCAGCTAGAAACTATTCCCTTGCCACATCACCCTCCTCCACAGGACCAGAGTACTATTGGTTATATATAGATTTATCTTCATCCAAGTTGAATTAGGATTGTTTCCTAGCAGTTTCTGAGGCTAAATTGAAATCTATAAATGGAGGTCCAACCTCTTATGTTGATTCTATAAATAGACTCGTTGTAATTGGAATTAGAGGAATCTAATTGAAGAAGAAGGTTATTTTCCAGTGGATTGTAATTGCGAGAATTATCTATCTTTTCTTCTAGTCTTTATCTATAGTTTGTTGTTTTCTCTCTAATACAGCAGCAATTCTTTTTCTTTCCTTATATTGGATTCTACTTTAATTTCTTAAAGTTGAAATCTTCATTCAGCATGTTTGTTACACAAATAAAGCCAGTTGTATTATCCTTCATCCTAATTTCTATCTTAAAACTATTTTTACCTGTTTTCAATCTCTCCAATCTGTTGCACATACATTTGTCTACCATCACAATGTTAAGAAGAGGTGAAGGTGCAGACTGCCAAGACTTTAAGAACTCGCTTGATTATAATATCATAAGTGTCCCTAATGAAGGACAGCTAGAGTAGCGCCAGTTTGGATCTGCAATCAACACCCTCTTATCATTTATCCACAACAAACATGAAAACTTCTTTCGAATTACAAAACAGAGATACCTCCTCAAAATATTCAATTGGAGAAATCCAGATTGAAAGCTTATTCCCTTGGAGATGAAGGAACATGCAAGTTTAACATGTAAAGATGTCTGGAGTATCAACCTTAAGGATGCAGTTCTCTCCAAAGGTAAGTATTGTCAATCCTGACGAGTTTCACGGATGCATTTGTCATCTATAGTAAGTTTAAAAAGCTATTCCGTTCAAAGGAGATGGGAAGAGGTAGGAGAACAACTTGGATTTGAAATAGAGTACGATGCCATGGCTTATGAATTTGGTTTAGTTGGCATTTAGGGAAACTTAAATGTAAATTTGAACATGACGAGGCAAAATATTCTTCATGCAGACCTGCTAGTGCCCCAGGGAAGCGGAACAAAGATCAAAAGTAAAAAGATTAACCAGACAAACAAAGCAAAGAAGATTTATGAAGGAGAAAAAAAATAGGAAAAGAAAGTACCTCGCAAAGGCAAGGTTGAGAAGAAAACCACGTTGTGTTAGAAATAGAGCTATGGCATCAAAATTGAAGACCCCTTTAACCCCATTTGCAGCAGACGGAGTTCTGTATCTAGGTCTGTATGTATTCCCACTATGATAACCGTACCCATAACCACCTGCGAATCCACCTCTGGCATTAGAATACCCAAACCTCCGATTATAGTCTGAACGCTTGCGGTCGTCTATCAGAACCTCGTAAGCCTCTGAAACCTGCTTGAATTTGAGAGTCGCTCCGTCCCTGACAACCTTCGGTGACTGCAAATGTTTGTCCGGGTGGAATTTGAGAGCCAATTTCCTGAAAGCTTCCTTAATTTCTTCTTTGCTTGCGTCCCGACTCAGTCCCAGTACCGTGTAGTGATCCATCGATGAAAAACGAAAACTAAGTTTTTCTCAGAATTGATATTAGATGAAGGCCCAAGTAATGGAAACCAAAAATTCAATGTGGATTTTGAATAAGAAAGCTGAAAAGCCTGAAATTCAAAGAAATTCTGAAATATAATCGAATTTCATGCAGCACTGTGGAGGCTTTTTCGTTTGGTCTAGTCTTAGCACAAAAGCGGTGACGTTCGTTCTTTGTGTATCGTTCAGAAGAGAGCAAGAGAAGTGTTTTAATGGCGGTTGGGGATTTCGAGCAATTATGAGACCGAAATATCGTACGACTGGCGGAGGAAGAAAGCCACGAGTATAATCGAGCCGAGTCGACTTTTGGCTGACTCGAGGTCTCGAGCTCGAGATCGACCCAAAAACTCGGAGTTATCGTGTAATCGTGTTTTGACTTTTGAGCATCTGCGACACAATTCAGGTAGGCACAACGCTGAATATTTATATACCTTCATTTTTCATAAATTACTTAAATATATGAGCCCATTTGACTTTAATATACCTTCTTTAAAGAAACTTACATGTCCTGTATATGACGTTATTTGATCTAGAACCGATCAGCCCAGGTCAGAATTTGTAGATTCAAAATACTGTCGGGGTAAAGGCTAGCTCGAATTGATACTAATTTATGGGCGGGCATGGGTGAGATTGTTGACTTCTTGAATGTTTATAACTTATAGCTTTGTAGTGGAAATCATAAGTTTGTATTGCGCAAATCTGTATTTCTTGTTAAAATTTTAAAATTCCTATTATGAACTTCTTGAAATGGATCATATGTAATTAGTGGGGCCGTGCGATACACAGATGGGACACTCCTCTTGTTCCTCACCCTGTGAGTCAACACTCTACTCCATCTCCACCTTGATCCACTAACAGAGCAAGTTCAGCAAGGTATTCATTCCTCGTTGAGGATGGGGAATCCTCAAGTTTTCTCTACCTTGAAACAACCACCTAAAAAACTTAATTTATAGATAAATAGACCAGAGACGCTACCAAAATGCTCCATAAACACTGATGTTGCTCGATCCGAAGTCGTGCACTAACCAAAGTCACAATTAGATAATCCTTGCCAAATAGAAGAAGCTGTGCTCCAAAATCTGTAATCAAGAAAGATGTTAGAGGCCTGAGGAGTTATCCCCGGGTATGCACTCCAACGCTCAAATCAATAGAAAGTAGCAAGGAATCGGGTTGAGCAGTTAAAGAACAGTATTGGTCTAAGCAGTATAACGGTATGAGTGCTAGAAGTTGGAATCTCTTACCATGAGCGGGAGATACCTTTTTATAGTTGAAGGTCTGTGTCCTGATCGGATTAGGCATCCGAGGCTGTTGGGATGAGGTTAACCGTTGAGGTCTTCGGGATGAGACCTAATCCCTAGCGGGGTTGTCCCCATCTGCTCTCCTGTCTTGGTTGTGCTTATCCACGTGACGTGGAGTCTCCGTGGCTAGGGGGATACGGTGGGGGCCATGGAGGCAGCGCAATGCTGACGTGGCCGTGGAGTCGATGTAGGCCACGGAGGCGACGTGCCACTGATGTGGCCGAGGTGATTGGGTAGACACATGGTGTACGGAGCTAGCTCAACCATGACCCGAACACCACTCCCCCAGTTCTGAAGTCGAGGATTAAAGCGCTCGGCCGGAGTGTAGCGCGGGAGAAAACTTTAGTCCTTGGCTGAGGAACTCGAAATTGAAGTCTAGTTGAGCATTTGGTCTGGTTCACATAGAACTTGTCAAAATTCAAAGTTTGCGCACTGCCTTCTGGTGCTCGTCTGCGGGGTGTTGCTAAGGAGCTCTCTGATCATCGACTGAGGAAATTAGAATTTGAAATTCGGAATCCCAAACACCGCTCCCCCAGTTCCGAAGTCGAAGAGAAGAGTGCTCGGTCGTGGTGTAGCGCAGACTCCTCAGCCGATGGCCGAGGTCGAAGAATTTGGTTCTCGTTGGGCGCATCGTGGGAGTTTGAGGACTTGATCAGACCGGTCTCATGGGGCAAACCAGCTGGGTTGATGATCGCGTCTTTGAAATGGATCGTCAGAGGCATCGCTTTGGTTCCTGATGCCTCACACATGCGGTGGGCAGTTGCGCCGATTGGTCTTCCCGTGCTTGTCAGAGTGGTGCTTGATCTCCGTCGTCGATCTTGCTTCGATCCACCCCCTAGGAGTCTTTAAATAGAGGGGGAAGAGCATTTCTCCTTCGCCATTTGTGACAGGAGTAACTTAGAGAGCTCAGCGAGGGGTGGTTTGTTGTGCTTGGGTTGTGCTTTAGTTCTGCGGTTCTAAGTCTGGTAAGATGTCTTCCTCGTCTTTTCGTTCTTCCTCTTCTTCTGATTCTTCTAGCTTTAGCACTTCCTATTATGAGTCCAAGTCGGGGTCCTTTATTGAGGCCGCAGATTTTGACGGGGTAAAGCCAGGGAGAGCCGCCGAGGCCAAGGAGGCTAAGGTTGGGCCATTGAGTGTAGAGGTAAAGCTCCCTGTGCAGGCTGGCCATCAATTCCGTACCAACCCTTGCTGCTTGACTCTCGGGGATATTGCTCATATCTGAGCTCTGTACTGCATCCCCAAGGAGTATGAGTTATGGTGTTCACAGGCTGGTGAAAGGCCTACGGATGCTCGGTCGGGCGAGCTTTGTGTGTACGAGAGTAGTTTGGAGGCTAGGTTAAGGTTTCCTTTGCACGAGGGAATAGTCGGGGTGTTCGAGTGGTATCAGGACTTGTCCTCGTGAAGCACTGAAAGGGGGAATTCTTCTTTGTGTGCTATCCCAAAGGCTCGTCCCTTCCAGCCGTGCTCTAGGAGCCAAGGACTAAGGTGCCGCAACCCAAGTGGCACAGACTGACTAGGGAGGAGAGACTGGCTATCAGCATGATCGAGGAGATTAACGTGATGATGTACACCTCCATCTCGATGTTGATATGCACCGGGCTGATGCACAGGGAGGCTAGTTCTTCCTATTTCTTCTACTCACTTGTTGGTTCTTTCCTCTCTCTCTCTTTTGTTTTTTTGCTTGTCTTGATTGATTTCTCACCCTTGGAGCAGGTGCCAATATGGCGAACGAGGAGATCATTCGTAGAATGAGGGCCAGGCAACTAAGGCACAACTGAGGTGGTGCGAGGGCCCAAAACCGCTTTGAAGTGAATCCGCTGAGGTTTGCTGAAAGGGCTTCCCGACTGCAGAAGAGGGCCAGGCAATGTGACGATGATGAAGATGTAGCAGTGGTGGATCCGGAGGAAGGTTATCAGTCTACTATTCCTCCTTCCCCACGGATGGATATGTCGGGGTGCTGCAGCTCAGTCCTCCATGTGCCACAGCAGATTGTTCACTCCGAAGATGGGCTTGAGATAGAGTGGGTACCCGAGCAGCTACTCCATGGAATCCTAACAATGGCTATTCGAAGGGAAGGCACACAGACAACGAGCAATACCTTGGAGTGCACACTCCTCCACCAAATCACTTCAGTAAGTCCATGCTTACAATTGATTTCCTATTTGGTCGGGGTTGTTCATGTTGGCGTATCTTCTTTTGCAGAGTGCCTGCTCAACAATCGTAGTAGTTGATCGCCTCCGGCAATTGCAGCAACTCTCTGATGAGGAGCACACCGAGCTCGTGGGCCTAAGAGCTCAATTGGTTGAGTTCTAGACTGCTGGTGAGCAAACGGTTGTGATTGAGGTGGAGATTGCCGAAATGAAGCGAGGAATTGAGGAGCAGTCTGACACCATCCGCAACCTTAAGAGGCGCATTGCTGATCTGAAGGCAGAATAGGAACAGTTGAAGAAGGAGGCCGAGGATAGGGGGCTCAGGCCGTTGACCAGTTCAAGATTTCGGTGGAGTACTAGCATGCGATGGATGACTTTGCTGTGAGCTCCTTCGAGGCAGGGTTCAACCTCTTCAGGAGGAGGGCGTTGGGCCATTACCCTGACTTCACCGAGGTTGCGTAGACTTGGGGTCCCTATGACAATGCTTCCCTGCCTACCGAGGATGGCCTCGCTGCGTACGTGCCTGAGGAGAACGTTGCGGTCGAGGAGAACGAAGATACCTTGGATCCTCCTATCGGGGATTGAGTTGTCGCCTGTTTTTGTTGGTCCACGCTTCTGCCCTGCTTTACTTTGCTATTGTTGTTGAAATGTTGGTCTTCTTTTCTTTTTTGAATAGCTCGGCATGTCGAGCTCACAGCGATGTACAAACTTTGGGTATTTAATGGAAATGTTTTTAACCCTTCTTTTTAATTCTGGGCTTGTGTACTACCCTTTTCCTTCTCCCTCTTTGCTAAGTTGTAGGCCTTGGTCTTACCATGGCCAAAGTCAGGGGTGGTCGAGATCTTTGGTCTCCAGCTTGAGAGGCTAGAGTGCGTTCCGAGCTCTCATCTCTCGGGAAGCTCAGTTACCGGTCTTAGGAGCTTTTCGGCACTTCGGGGGGCTGGCTATTCTTTGGCGAGCTATGGTCTGACTGCACGTCAGCAGGGTGTGCGGAGTGTGATCATCGCCCTCAGGCTTTGGAAGGCAAGAGCAATCTTCACCTCTTCAAACTCTGGACATCGACTGTCAAGTCGCTTTACTTAGCCGACTATGCACTACCGAGCTATGCATCATGGGCTCTGGCCGTTGTGCGGTCAGCCAAGTCGGTGTGCACTATGTAGTTCGTGCTGTGAAATGTGTCGTGTGCTTGGTGTGCATCATCCGGTGTGTGCGAGGTGTGTGCGTGTATACTAAGCAACCAACTTGTAGACGAAAAGGTTCTTTATTAATATTGAATCACCGATTGTACATTCGAAGGTTCCCGGTATTCCAACTCCTCTATATGAGCTTGTCGTCTAGGTCTTCCAACCTATAAGGTATCGGGGCGAGGACTTTAGTGACCTTGTATGTCCTTCTCAGTTAGGTCTGAGCTTGCCTTCTCCTGGGGCAGGCATAATGACTTTGCGGCGGATGAGATCGCCAGTTTTGAATTCCTATCTTCAGACTTTTGGAGTCGTAGTATTTGGCCATCCATTACAGTTGTGCTACCATCTTGACATGTGCTTGGTCTCGTGCTTCCTCCACTAAGTCTAATTCTGCGTGGAGGTCTTTGGCGTTCTGCTCCTCATCGTAGAAATCGGTCTGAAGGGTCAGCGAGCCTATCTCCACGTGTGTCATGGCTTCAGCCCGTAGGTCAAGTTGAAGGGGGTTTCTCTGGTAGTCATCTGTAGAGTAGTCCCATATGCCCAGAGAAGAAGGGATGAGACTTCCATCCTATGGACGCCCAAAGATTGCGAAATAAGGGACGAATTTCAAAATCATTTTCTCTCCCTTCAACTGGGAATCGCATTCCCTATTTAGAAAATCATATTTTCAAGGATCAATCTTGAACCATAAACTGAAGCAGATCTGAACCAAAAGGAGTGG